ACCCTCCTGTCTTCTCTGTAATGAACTGGACTCACAATAATAACAGCGTCTGTGTTTAACAGTGCCTCTGACTTGTTACTTACTGTCAGTCTCCCAGGCTGAAGTGCGCACCGACAAAGCTGTATCTTTGGAAACTACACATTTGAAAGGAAAAAATTAAGGATGAATAAATAAATAATATTAATAATAAATGTATATTTAAAGCCCATTTCAAAACACTTTACAAACTGCTTTACATTGAATTAAAAAAATATGAACATAGACCACAGGGGATGGTTCACATGTAAAGCTTGTAAAGAATGTAAAAATTGTTCTTGCAAGAGAAATGTATTCACTGCTAATACTGGAAAGAAAAGAAAAAGAAAAAACTATACAGATTTGTGTTGCAAAGTGACTTTTCCATATACTGTATTGTATACTATAATAATAAGTAATACCTCCGAGATCACTTATAGGCTAATTTACATGGGTCTACCTCATAGGCTATTCAATATCCCATCACAATTAGGACTGTTATTAGTCTTGAATACATGTGTGGTTTCTTATGACGTTTGCTGAGGATCCCGTCACGTCACGGAGTCTGCGCAGCCTGATTAGCATACAGACAAAACACACGTTACCCAGGTGACTGTGCTGCACTCAGTTGAGAATATTTTTATATCATGCAAAAAGTTGAACAAGAAAGAGCAGAACTGATAACACAATCAAGGAAGATTGCGCCGGTAGAGGATGACATTAAAAGTACAAGAAAATTCCTGGAGAAATTTTGAATGTTCCTGCTGCTTGGTGCTTGTACTTCACTCCTCTCGTTTCAATCTGCACAAAGGACGTTACTTTCAGCTTCATTCATGTCGTAGAGACTCATCCTGACTCTGACCTCAGTCACTGCAGCTGTCCCTCAAAAAGCCTTTTGAAGCTGTCACGACTGGCCACAATAACCTCACATTGATGGTTTCAAACCCAGATTTGTCCCAACCACAGCAAGACATGTATACACACTCGTACATGCACTTACAGAAGTTGATCTGCAACTTAAACATTACCACAACAACAATCACAGCCTCCACAATGACCATTAAAATAAAACAACACTTCTCAAACAGATTCAGTAAATACTGAACATTATAATCCTCATGAAGGAGGATTTACTGCAGGCCTGTTCCATTATACTGCATTAGTTTCATCCAGGTTCACCTAATACATATATATGAATTAAAAACAGAACTCAAGGACACAAGTGCTAAAACAAATCCGCCCTTTATTTAAAGTTTACCCAATATACAGCAACACTTAATAAAATGCATTTCTTTGAACAGAACAGTAATGGGGTTAATGGGGCAGATGTAAGTAACTGCAGACAGGTTCACTGTGTAACTGGTGCTAGATGTCCTGAACTGTCCGTCTCATCTTGTAATACCACTGTCACTGTAGCGCAATAAACTTATCATAAACTAACTAATAGAACTTGAGGTACAGGTGAAACTGACTCCAGGGCTCCTCACCCTGTGATAGTGAGTCATGTGATGACCTTAGTTTTCTCAACCGATGCCCATCCATCCACTGCACCACAGCACATGATGCACTGTCCACGACCTCCTCAGCAGCAAACAGCAGACAGACACGGTCCGAGAGCAGCTGCTGAACATATGGAGCAATAAGAAGCTAAAGAGACAGATTTCCCTCAGGAGCTGGTGGAGACCAAATACAGAGCTAAAAGAGAGGGAACACTGGACTGACATCATCATGAGACATCAGGTGACACACACACCACTCTAAATGTAACAAATCAAATATAATAAATGTCAATTAAAAGTTATAAATGTCTTCCCTCCACAGTCTTTCCACCAACAGTCCCATGTTCTGATTTTCTGAGTTTTTTACCAAGAATAAAAAAAAAAAAAATGCTAATGCTAACTGCTAATGCTAACAACCTAGCCCCCACCCCATGTTCTGCTTGTCCATTTTTTTTCCACCAATAAAGAATCAAATAAAAAATGCTAATGCTATTGCTAGCTGCTAATGCTAGCAAGCTAGCGCCCACCCCCTGTGTTCTGCTTGTCCGTTTTTTTTACCAATAGCGAATAAAAAAATGCTAATGCTATTGCTACCTGCTAATGCTAGCAAGCTAGCGCCCACCCCCTGTGTTCTGCTTGTCCATGTTTTTTTCACCAATAGCGAATAAAAAAAATGCTAATGCTAGCTGCTAATGCTAGCAAGCTAGCCCCCACCCCACGTTCTGCTTGTCCATGTTTTTTCATCAATAAAGAATCAAAAAAAAAAAATGCTAATGCTAACAAAAACGGCGGCTAGCTCGCGCCCCCCCCGCACAGGCATTGCGCCCAGCAAGCGGAGGTAAGCCCGCCCCGGCAGGCTAGCTCGCGCCCCCCCCCCGCGAGCACATGGCATTTGCGACCCAGCAAAGGGAGCTGAGCCGCTCCGGCGGCTAAGCTCGCGCCCCCCCGGCCACAGGCATTGCGCCCAGCAGAAGCGGAGCTAGACCGTCCGGCGGGGCTAGCTCGCACCGGCCCGCGCTCCGGGCACAGGCATTGCGCGCGAGCAAGCGGGAGCTGGCCGGCCCGGTATTGTGCGGCTACTCGCGCCCCCCGCCGGCAAGGCAGTGCGCCCAGGCAGAGCGGAAGCTAGCCGCCCGGCGGGCTAGCTCGCGCCCCCCGCGGACAGGCATTGCGCCCAGCAAGCGGAGCTAGCCGCCCGGCGGCTAGCTCGCGCCCCCCCTGGCACAAGGCATTGCGCCCAGCAAGCGAGCTAGCCGCCGGAGCGGCTAGCTCTGCGCCCCCCCCAGGCACAGGCATTGCCCCAGCAGCGGACTAGCCTGCCCCGGCGGCTTAGACGTCGCGCCCCTGCCACCCGGCAACAGCCATTGCGCCCAAGCAAGCGGAGCTTAGCCGACCGGCGGCTAGCTCGCGGACCCCCCCTGGGCACAGGCATTGCGGCCCAGGCAAGCGGAGCTAGCCGCCCGGCGGTCATAGCTCGCAGCCCACGCCACCCCGGCACAGGCATTGCCCACAAGCCGGAGCTAGGCCGCGCCGGGCGGCTAGTCCGCCGCCCCCCCCGAGGCATCAGGCATTGGGCTGAATGGAATGACTTAGCCCCGACTTAAGCGCCCCTCGACTTTAGCCCCTCGATTAGCCCGACTTAGCCCCCCGTGAGACTTAGCCCCGACTTAGCCCCCGACTTAGCCCGCCGACTTTAGCCCCGACTTAGCCCCGCCGACTTAGCCCCCGACTTAGCCCCGACTTAGCGCCCCGACTTAGCACAACCTGGACTTAAGTCCACAACCGACCCCCGCACTAGCCTCCCACTAGCCCCCCGACTTAGCCCGGCCGATGCTTAGCGTCGACCGACTGTCTGTGAGCCCCTCCGACTTGCCCAAATATTAGGCTCAAGATATGGATTTGAGCTTAGGTAAAGTAATTTTATCAAATAATTCCAGAACATTTGTAGCTTGTAAATCAAATTTTGTAAACCATGAAAAATAAATCTGTTTGAGGTCTATTCAAGTTCTGCGATATGTAGAAATAGACATATGTGCTGTTGAGTGTTATGTGCGACAGGATGATTTCTAATAGTTTGTATTGGAGACTGTGTGTGGATCAAAACTGAACAATTGATGCAGCTCATAGAAGGTTTAATGATCAAAGACCACAGGAATTGAAGAAGATGCTTTGTGGACATCTGTGTCAGAGATAAATAGATCGCTGAAACAGCTGTAACTACAGTGTTGCAAGATTCACCAGTGTGTGCCACTGGACGAGTAGCAATTTTGATCCTTGCTCACTTCAGTGGTCACACTTGTGGGAAAACAGTTGGCTTGACCAGAGTTTTAGTGCCTCATTGGTGTATGTTTCTTGACTCATTATAATTTCACAACACAAGAGGTTGGATGTTGACAAATAATTTCTTTCCTGTTACAGTGTCTTTTTAAACAGTGATTCCTTTGTTTGAGTGTGTTTGATTGCAGACTTTTCCCAAAAATACAATTTCTTTGACACAAGTGGCAATTGTTTCACATACAAAACCATGAATTGTCTCCCTGTCAGATTTATTTTACAGGTTACTACAAAGGTTGATTTACACACTACAAACCATTGGAATTTATTTGGAACATACACTTTCAAAGCTCAAAATATTGTTGAACGCCTAAATTTTTGAGCAGCCACAGGTACAGTGCCACGAGTTTGTGTTTTTAAAGAAAAAACAAAAAAAAAACAAACAACACCTATATTGTTATTATGTCTACGGTATCTAGGAGTAAGGCACACATTTCCCTCAGCATAAAAAACAGGCTGTGGTTGTACACTTTACCGTGTTGTGGTGTTAACCGATAGTTGTTACTATTTATAGGCTTTGTGTTGGTAAAGTTGAAATAAAAAGTTGTTACCGAAAGTAATTCCTCACGTACACATCAAAATGTAAGTTTCCTTATAGCAACAAATCAGAGACAGCAAGGTGTTCCCAATGACAAGTATTCTTAATTGTAATAATTCAGATCTGCCAAATATCAATATATCAATCCCACGTTGGGTTGTTCCCTGATGCATCGATATGCACGACTTAAGATGTAATCAGACCAAATATCCATTTTAACTCATACTTTAAGATGTTAACATGTGTGGAATGGCAATTACAAGAAAATATAAAACTGTATAATATAGGTCTCAAGAATTCTACTTGTAACTTTCAGTGTCACACTGTGTGGGAACTTGAGTGCAAAATTTTACACAAACTGTCTTTCACATTGTATCTGTATTACTTCACCACTGGACATTTGTTTGGTTTCATTAACAAAGTCTTGTTTTTCTTTTTACAAATGCAAAAATTGTTCAGTGTATTATTGAGGGTAATTTGAAACACATTACAACAGACCTGCATTGTAAACTAGAGTGAAATCCATCATTAATATAAATGTTAACAGAATCATTTTAACTCATTGTAACATTTTGTTGTTTAAATCATGCGCATGACTTACCATTTCTTGCTTTCGGGGGGCTGCAAAGGTATGGTTCCAGCCTGAGGAGGATTCTGCCAACCCTATGAAAAGAAAAAACATGTCAAGCAGCTCCTCTTTTCACTATGAAATGTTTTTCAAGCATTCTAAGGACTTCAGAACATAAAAGATGCACAAATCATCCATTTAAATAATAGTAATAAAAAAGACTTTATGAATAAATCTTAAATGATACATTTACATGTCAATTTAAAAAAAAAAAAAAAAAAAAAAAAAAAAAAAAAAAATAAAAATAAAAAAAAAATCCCACACTAACATCAAGCTATGTACAAAGGTGTTTTAGAATCACAAAACTCCTGCTAGGGCGGTAAAGCGCAAACAAGGTAGTGATTAGAGGGAAATATGCAAAAAGATCACAGTTATCACACAGATATGTCTGTCATGTGCAGGATAATACCTCAAGATGTTGATATAATGTGGTTGATAACTGATGAGGCCAAATGCAGAGGAAAAGGCAGGTGCCGGTCCATCATTGGTGATTAGACTGGAATTCTGGTCCTGAGACAGACAAAAATGTTATAGACCAATTTCTTTAGATCATATAAGTTCTTCATAGTCATGTGTGCAATAATCAGGATAGATATGAATATGCAAATATAAATACTGTATGAATATCATGCAATGTAAATGCAGGAAAATTAAGTGTAAACAACCAAGTGTGATAAGAATTCAATGTACACACACTATATAACCAACAAACTGAGTAGTACAAATATGGACTTTAAAATACATAAACAGTCGTATATTCATTAAGAATCAGCAGTATGAACATGTTTACACTGTGGGTCTGATTTAATCAGTGGTATAGACAAGTCTTACTTTTCAAAGAGAATGATAGCATGTTACTCACCTAGCCAGTGTCTTGACTCTGCCATTGGTGAGACAGGTGGAGGCGGTATTGCATCTGTACTGGCTCAGGTCCTGAAAAAGACAGAGGGATGCTGAAATCTCCTGAGAAATGTAGAGACCTAGTTCACTTTCAGACATGGCTGATCTCCTAACAGTAATGTAAAGTGGTAACAACATGGTGAACCGATCGACGTGTATTCACTCGGTCTACTGGGTCCATACAATCTCAAGTTACAGTCATCAGTTACAAAATGAGCCTAAAGTTACTGACGTCGCCAGCTGTACAACAGCCGAGAGCAACAGACACAATCCTAGTAAACCGCTAAAACGTCTGTCGACAACCTCAATATCACCACCTGAAATGTTTGTCAGTCGTTGCACTGATTATACTCTTAGCTTCAGAGCCAACATTGCTTGAAGCTACTCACCGGGCTAACAGGAAAGTTGCGAGCTCGGCATCAAACCGCATCTCTTTCCTCTCAGGAGCCGTCTCCAGCGGTGGAAAGCCACATCGAGATTTACTCCTGTTGCTTCTTTTCTTTGCCGTTGAACGTGGTTTCTTGTCGGGAGCGGTCCTTCGGGATGCAGATGAATATCGTCTTTTAGGAGGTTCAGCCATTCCTGTGTTTCTGTGATGCTAACCTCGAGCTGCTGGAAGTTGTTCTTCTTCGTGGGACTGAGAGCAGACTTGACGCGCCACCGACTCACACAGCGTCTAGCGTCACAAAGTGGTATCACAACACAGGACAGGTCGGGGCTGGCTGGTGCGCATGCGCATTTCAGTAGATAACTCTGAAATACAACAGATGAGGTCTTGATCATAACATCACTGTGGCTGCTTCACACGCTGTTGATAGTGTCAATTCATTTTTTAAATTTTTTATTTTTTAAAATAAAGTTCTGGCCACATCTTATATTGCACCTTTACAGCACAACCACCAAAGCTGACATTTTAAAAAAGTAAAGCTACATGTTAATTGTCCACATTGCAAACCAACTTAGTTTTCACAGTTGAGTTAAAACGTGGACATTGAGCTTGACTGATATTAACACATTTGATGCATACAAAACATTTTGATTTACTTTTACGGTATATCAATCTATGCATGGGATATAAAATACAATCATGCTTTCCCTTATACTTACATAAAATCTGTGATATTTGCCCATTTTGCATTCAGGCCAGTAGATGTTGCACTGTTCACATGAAGCATCAAGATATAAACCCTTTGTGGAACCACTTTGCTGAGAAAGTAAAACCTCCGACGCTGTGGGACTCACATCCAGTACCAGGCAGTTGATTTCTGCAAGCAAAGAAGATACAACAGCCCGGGAAATTTTACTCACCCAGAATTTCACTTACTGACCACGGACTGCTCACAGAGCCAGGTGTCAGTTCACTGCTGCCATGTTGATTCTGGTGTCCGTATATGTAGTCATGGGCTGTCTTACCAGTCGCCGTATTTCGGCAGTCTTTGTTCTGACCTAGCTAGGGGAAAAGGGAAGCAACATAAAATCAGGTGTTATTGCTCAATGAAATTTACTGATTTAATTTATTGCCTAACATGGAGGGTAAATATGTAAACATAAATACAAACAAGGCAAGAGGATAACTGAAGTAGGGGAACAGGAGCCAACAAAGAGCCTAACTATGCGATTCTAACCAACCCAAAAACACTAGAATCAGCGCCCCTGTTCCTAATGTGTCCAACAGTCTTTTTCTAAGGGTGTGATGCGCAATCAGAATTTTAAACCTAGCCCAGTCCCCAACAATCAACACCAGCATCTCAAACCAAATCACAAATTACACACAAATGTTCACAAAGGCGGTACAGAGGCGAGCTGCCTATCATGTCAGCCGCCACTAATGATGTGCGGGCCGGGCTCTTAAACTCTCTTCCTCTGATGCTCAAACGGCAACAGCTGTGGTGAGGGCTGAAAGGGTCATTGCTGCACCAATAGCAGAAGCCGGCCGTGGAGTCGGAGGCTCCTCCTCTCTGCTCCGACAGGGACAGGTAATCCATCGGTTAGTGTTAAAATGCCCGAGCTTTGTGCAGCAACAGGCTGTAATAACGAGAACAACTGTAGAGAGAGTCTTTGCTATGCACGACCGCCTACACCGACTACCGGACCGCAGCAGGCTCCTGGATACGCGCTACGAAGTCGCTGCTAACACAGTTAGCATTCATAATTCGAGGTAAACTTTATATCTTTGTGTTAAAATAATCTTAGTAGCTAATTGCATACATGTCCACATTTGGTAAATATCACATATATGAGGAGAAACCTTGTAATATTAGCTGAAGTTACTGTGTGTAAGCTAACTGTGTGGTGTAACCGCTTGTATTAAAACCATAGACCGAGGGAAAACATGTTATAACGTGTTTTAAAATGAGTTCTGCAAAGCGAAGGTGACGTCACCGACCTTAGTGTTAACAGAGACAGCGGGTTGTCAATGTCGGTAAGTCACGGTCACTAAGCGATCCCGTTATTACAGGGAACTGTCGTGTCTGGACGTGCTGTTAAAGAGCAGAGCAGCGGACTGTGTGTCGTGTTTGTTCATATTTAAGTTTGGTTCAGTGTTAGTCGGCTAGTTTTCAGCTCTAGTTCATTGCATTATTGATGACATATGACATATTGATGTCAAAACATCTGTTGGAATGATTCTGTCTGTCAGAATAAAGAACATCACTGAGAGCTGAGAACCATCATGACATGTGCACCTGCACAATGACACCAAACTGAGTATTACTTTCTATTCTATTGTTATTTAATGTAAAACGGTTCAGCAGACTGTTTATTACAACTAAGCTGAGGGAATAATGTATTTTCAGATATCTGTGATCATCTAATCAGAGTGCGGTTTCTGTTGTCTTTTTCTCTGTACTCTACAATATGATATTGATATGATTTCTCTCCATTATGTTTTTCTTCTATCCAGGCAAGGTCTGGATCTTTGGGGACACCTACAACCTCTTGCAGCAATGATGGAGGCCCTGCACCACCTCCACCTTGAGGAAGAATATACACATGCTTCAGTGTATTCAGTGTGACTTGCTGACACCTAGGAACAACTCTACAACCCTACTGAGTTGGCCCTTTGATCTTTTCATCAAGGAGAACACCCCTTCTTCCCTCTTACATCACCAAGGCTTCATCGTCTTAACAACATCTTACCTGTAGATATGTTGATTCAATCCAAGGGCTCTTCCTGCCCTACCTGTGGATATGCTGATCCAGCCTAAGAGCCCCTCCTACCCCCTTGATAACTTGAACCTAGGTGTTACATTGCAAGACCTCTAGAGAACGTTACGTTTTGCTTCTAACCTCCTTTCCATCTTGTTATCCTGTCTGACCAAATACAATTGTCTATCCCTTTGTCTTCAACTGTATAACTGTCCCCCTGCCCTTCACTCTGGGTCAGTCTACTGCCTCAGACCCGCTCTGTGTCAGTTGGCTCACCGTATCCTGGGATACCAATAAACTTACATCACTACAGCAAACTTGAAACTAAGGACTTTTCTTCAACAACCTGCAGTATCCACACATGAAGATCTTCTCTTCCCAAACATAAACACAGTGTCTTACATGATAATATAGTATTTTTTAATGTAACACTTGTGGCCATAACATTGTTCAGTCTGATCAGCTGTGCTCTTCCTTGTTCCCTACACCCTCACTGTCGTATTACACTCTCTGCCCCATGTCAGACATACAATCACATTACTTTTGGACTCCACTGTAGCTGTAACAAACTGTCAATAATTTAAAACATTAGAGTTCATATTTCATAGTCTTCAGCCATTATAGTTAATATCAGTGTGCTGTTCCAACAGCATCACTTATTTAGAGGGAGATTGTTACTGGAGCAAATAAATATGAACTGTCTCACACATTAGGACTCATGATGAATAATGATTATACTTGTTTTTAAATTCTGTTGCACTGTTGATTCACCTACTTCTTTTTTTAAACAAACTTACATATGACAGCAAAATTCAGCTTTAACTTAATCGACAACTATTTATTGATTTTAAATGGTTGATTGTAAATTGTACACCATTTAATTAATCTATTTTAGACATGTTTCCAGTGTTGTAAATTGTTTAAATTAATGTAGTTTATAATGTCCAATAAAGTAATTTATGAAGCTCTTGCTTTAACTTATAGAACACATCTGGTATGAATTTTCACAATAGTAACATGTACAGCACTGTGTGACTTTTTCTATGTTAGCTTTAATCAACAACATAAATACTAGAAATATTTAAATGTTGCTGTCCGACAACACTGACAGTGAAGGATCATAAAACATTCTAATGTTAATCTGTAAATACTTTCACCTGTGGAGGTGGTGACAGTGCTAGAGATGATCCATCACTTAATCACAGTTTAATATTTATAAATTCTGATCTTAAAAGTGTTGCTACCATCACCTGTCAACAACAGCAGAAAAGAAGTTTCAGGTAAGAAACTGAACCTGTGAATCCTGAAGACAGAGAATAATAAACTAACTCATCAGCAGTTAGTCTGTCATTTCATCAGAGGAAGATGAACTGGGAGAGGTTTTCTACCATCATCATCATCACAGCACATTAGAGAACTAAGGATGTCCATGCAGTCTCCCTTCTCCACAACCAGATGAATGGAAACAAATGGGCTGCTCTGTACATGAGGTCCTCCTTCTGTTGGCACAGATCACTCAGTTTTCACAGTGTGGAAACCTTTCAAATGACAATAAAACACAAACACTTGAGTTAAGATGCGGTGGATCACAGTTAATCACAAATATCGATCAGCTGTCAGGATAGGTGCATGAATGTCTGCTTCAGTTGAGGACTGGTTTGACTGTTAAATTAACAATATTCTACATGACAAATATTTGTCTACACATTTTTATACGTCACGTTATCTTAACTTGAACTATCACGACGTCTTGATGGACAATGTATTAACCAACATTAACGCTGCGCATTAGACTAACGCAGATCACTTAAACTGGGTCACATGTGGAGAAACACAAACCAAACGTCGTTAGATTAACGTCCATTAAATTCACCTTTTTATTGGGCTTTGACTGAACACCTCCACGGGCTAACCCAGGTTGACAAAGGTTATCAGCCCAGCGGGGCCAGGTACCGTTAGCATAGCAATCGCTAAGTTATCAGCTAACGCTAGCACTAGCACTAGCTTGGTTAGCAAGGTGCATCTTCAACTGAACTGTGATTCAGACCATAAACACGTAATGAAAACGTTTACGGAGGTAACAAATCAAGTGACAGGTAGGGTCATTTTCCCATAGACTTAAATATAATCGGACTTATTTTTGCAACCTGTGGAGTCACCATGATGGTCATTCGAGAGAAAGCAAGTTTAACGAACTTCTGCATTGGCTTCATTCTCCAGACTCAGAGTTGACGTCCTTTCTTTTATACAGTCAGTGCTCTGGACCAGAAAGCAGGATGTCTCTTCCCTCTTCTTCACCTCTTTCTGTAGTAGTTTGCTCGGCGAATCACTGCCCCCTTCTGGACATACGTGAGAAATGTCGGATAACACTGCTAAAGAACATTCGTTGCAAACACTTGACGTAATCAAACAAATTAATACTAAATGTAGATTTAAGATTTTGCCCAAATAATGTTTTTTTTTAAGTAATCTTGAACGTCGAAATGAAATTCAAGGGGGCTACTGCCGTGATGAGTACATGATTTATTTCCAGTGTTCAAAAGTCACCCTGATCATATTCTGGTTTTGAGAAATGTCTTGATATAAAAGACTCTGATATAAGCTATTCTAGCTGTAGAGGAGTGCCTCGGAGCTGAGCACCCGTGGCACTAATTAACTTTACAGCTGCGTCACTGAACTACAGAAAATAGACAGAGGAAACGCCTACCTTTGATAACAGACACGAGTGTTTTCGAAGCAATTAGTTACCTACTCGAGAATAAGACAAGCTGATGGAAACACACAGACCAGCAGCGTCCAAACCCGACACAAACCCTGTCCCGTAACCACACCTGGAAGTTCAACTTCTTTCACGTTCGTCCTGCTGGATGTTTGTCATAATCAAGCTGCTGCAGTCCATTAGTTTAATTTCCTCACGGTGTGGTACCGAGTCGACTCGGTGCAACCCAAAACAATGCCATCACGGCCACGCCTCTACCGGGTATGCTCCCTTTTTCAACAAGGACACCAGGCAGGTGGGCGTTGACGCTCCAATCATTCCAGTTCCAAAGTTTGATGGCGAAAACAAACGTCTGCTCTCCTCGTGCCCAAAGGTTTTATATTTTATAATTTATTTACTGAAAGGCTACAGCATATGATCACAACCTGAACGATAATATCAACACCTGTATATCCACCAGTGTAGTTATATGATTGGGGGGGGGGTGTTGTGTCTGTATAGTGTCTACCATGATTTCTCAAACTGTTATAGAACACTGCATGGAAAAAAAAATACCTGTTGGTCTCTTATGTGTGTATGCATGATTCATGAATCAAGTTTCAAGCCCAAAGATTCAAGTTTAATGTTTGTGAGTGAAACAGTTTCCGATACAAGGCAACATTTAAGGCACAAAACAGAAGATCTATGTCTTGTTACATGGTTGATCCTGAACAGATGAAGCATAGAGCATTACATATAGTTCAAAGAGTAACGTGCAATGTTAAGGTTGTAGGTTGAAATAAATCTGCTTCTGTGCAGCGATCCTGAAGGAGAAGCCAGTTTAATAAAGACCTCAGAGCCCCAGGAAATCTTTCTGTACCTCACAACCCAACAGTGCTTTTCCAGCTTCCACACACTCTGCCACACATGGTGCTAAAAAAAACAAAACAAACAAAAAAAAGTATTAGCAGAAGTCACTGAATGTGGGAAAACAGCTGATTTTAATCATTACACACAATAGTTTATCACTTATTATTATGAGTTTTACCATTCTGAGCATGGAGCCATGACACAGCCTTCATAGCCAGAAGCTCCCACTCTTCCTTAGCATCCATCTTGAAAGCATGAAGCCAAATCAGAGCCAGAATGGTGGCCCACATTTCCTGGTTCACCTAATTCACACAAAATTCAAACAAAGACACATAATTTCAAGGAGGAAATGTGACTGTATATTTTTGAAGTGTTACTAAAACAACAGTAATATCATATAAAATAAGACAACATACTCAAACACTTTCATGTGAGCTATTCACATATACTGTGTTGTGATTGCTTTTCCCAAACAGGTGGTTAAAAGTACCACAAGGGGGCATTATACCAAAGTTTCTCAATCTGGCTGTGTAGATATGTATTATCTTTAACAAGGACTCACAGCCGGAGGTTTTGTTTTGTCCACCTCCTCGCTGGTCTTTCCCAGTGCGGCAGCCAGGGCTGGATTGAGCAGCCAGTAGCCAGATGCCTTCTGCAGGGAAACCAACTGAAGCAAAGGGTCTCTGGGTGGCTTCTTGATCGTGGGGGCTTCAACGTTTCCAAGACACGCTAGGGGAGAACCATCTACATCTGCATCAAAAATGCAAATTCAATGATTCAGAGACAACACATATGTGAGTTGTAACAATACACTTAAAATGATATTTGTAAATTGTGACAAAATTGACAAAAGTCATTTAAAAGCTGATTCAGAATTTAGAGATCTATCTATCTATCTATCTGTCTTTCTAGAATGTATGCCATACACATACAATTTAAAACAGAAATAAATGTCTAAATAAAGCTAAATGTTGATGAACCCTACAAATTGAAAAATTACAAATTACACTTTTCTTTCAAATGTTTGTGCACTAATGAAACAAAACAGATACCTTCGTCACTGGAAATCCTTCTGCATTCTTCAGATGCATCTGATAAGCAATACTCATCATCAACTGTTTTTTTCAGAAGAAGAAATGCATTGTTAGAACAGCAAAATCATAAAAAAATATTTTATGGTTATAATTCAAATTTTTAATCTATCTATCTATCTATCTATCTATCTATCTATCTATCTATCTATCTATCTATCTATCTATCTATCTCAATAACATTTAAAACCAGATCTTCTTGCATTGACGGTGTTTTGCTGGTGTAATTGCTGTTTGGTATCTGAGGTACTTTGGAAGTTAAAAGAAACAATTTCTGGATTACAGTCAAACTTGCAGGTCACACGATGCCCTTTGACCCAGAAAGGATTCATGCCATACACTTCAATTAAGATTAACTACTGTTCAGCTAAGAAGTGAATGTATGAAAACGATACAAATTGAAGAGTTACCCATTACTCTTTTCTTTCAATAGTGTGTGCACCACTGAAACAAAACAAATACCTTTGTTACGCCACATCGGTTCACAGTCATCAACATCTTCACATGTTAAGCTGTCCTCAGAAACTGTTTTTTTCAGAAGAAATGCATTGTTAGAACAGCAAGATCATACTAAAAATATTCTATGGTTCTAGGTGAAATTAATAAGTCAGTTTTATTGTATTGTAATAGATGTTGGAACTTGTTTCCCTGAGTTGCTCTGAGTCTGACCTGCATTTGCTTCACCTCTACACTTGGCGGACTGAGACTTAACTTGTTCATATTTAGTATTAGGCACCCATCTGACCTACTACTACTATCTGTGTTGAATATCTAACCTGTGTGGAGTATGGAAAACATTTCTTTCTTTCAGTAGATATATAAATGCACCAGTGTGTTGAAAAAGCCAATTAACATTTTACTCACCCATAATGTCATTTAGAACAGATATTGCACAGCATTGAGAATACATCATCCCACCAAGTACTGTGATAAAAAGAAAGTAGGATATTAAATGAGGGTCATTATATTGATAACTGATGATAATTGTGCTAGGGCACAATTAGTTCATATAAGTGCTCCAGTTTCTCTCTAATGTGAAATGTACCAGTTTTACCAGCTGCATTTCAGTAAAGGTCACATTATTTTGGTTTATTCACCTGTTGCATTTTTCCTTACTAAACTCCGCATTTACAGTCATCTATTCCTTAATAAATGTATAGAGTTGTTGCCTTTGTTTTCTGTAACTTACTTTCAGTCATTTTTCATATCCGATTCATTTTTTGTTGGTTCTAAGTTCAAGTTATTTCTATCTTAAAATGAATTAGTGCATTAAAAGACTTTCTTGACTTATGGTTAGAGACGGTTTGTATTGTGCTGTCTCTGAAAGTATATTGCTGGTCCAATAATTAAAATGGTTTCTCATAATAATTCTTTCCCCAAACTGAGCTAAATTTATCATCATAATTGAAACGTAATGAAGAAAACACGATATGTGCTTAAAAATATAATATAATAATATAATATGTTCTTTCTTTGCCATACTGGCCAAGTCTATCACACATAAGTTTTACTGGTCTTAAACATACAACCGCCATTGAACTGGACAGGTTCCCTTTTTGTCATTTGTTCCTGGAAAAATACACTCACTGGATGTTGGAATATTTCTGCGCACCAGAGGTCCTTCAATCGGCTTGCCATTGCCTTTGTGGACAACAATGAAGGCAGTGTAGGAACTGCTCACTCCTGATTGGACACTGAGCTCCACCACCCTCTCCTTCACTCCTTCATCTTGTGGTGCCTCATCGTCTTTCTCCTCCATCTCCAGGGAGCGAATCAGAGTCCGAGCACCCAACCTGTGGACTGTTAATCTGAAGATAGGAGCAAGAAGTAAATACAGGCGGAGCTTACCTTCCGTTTCTATGAATAGAGATCTATGAATAGACAATCCTGTTAAACATATATGGACTTAAGAAAACTTTTCAACACATAGAAATTAGAAGTAAATCAAACACTGTTAATGTTACAACACTTCCAGTACTTTGAGCTAAATGCTAGTGTCAGTATGCTAACATACCTACAATGTTAACATGATGATGCTAAGCAGGTACATTGTTTCCTACATTCAATATCTCAGTAAGTGTATTAGCATGCTAACATTTACTAATTAGAACATCAGACTTAAAACGTGTTAATTTTTATTTTTCATGTTATTTTACTGTACCGTGTATTTCACATTTCACAATGCTGTGTGGAATGGTTAATTACATAAACTCAATACTGTAAAGTCAGCACATAATTTAAAGTAATTCTGCTGTCTGATCAAAAAACGTTTTACCCAGTGTCCTCTGCAGGTTTGAGACTGAAGTGGAGCTGGCTCTGAGAGGGATGACCTGCCAGACTGTACTTCACCATCACAGAGCCTTCTGATGCCTCTGAACTCTGAGAAAGTGTTAGAAACCATGCTTGTTAATGTGATGGCATACACCGTTAAAGACATGTAATATGTATATATGTATCATTCCTTTTGTTGAGTGAGAAATCCAGCCTCCAACATTAAATAGGTATTTCACTATGAGATGGTGCTGCTCCTACCTGCCCAGTGAGCTGGGCATAAAGCAGTGACCTTTGACCCTGGAAAACTGCTGTGATTGGTGGAGAGAGAACAGTGACAGACACTCCTTTTGGTAAATCCCATGTGACTGAGATATCCTCCACAGCTGGCTGCAGAGCAAATCGCAGCGACTGCATCACCTGGTTAAAAGAAAATATATACAAATGGTTGGGAGAGGTAACGAGTAATACCTTCTGTCTAAATAAAAATGAAGGGTTGCATTTTTTAATAAAATGTTTTCATCCATGTTACTTTTCTTACTTTAGGTTGCATCCTGTCAGTTCCTGTGATGAACTGGGCATGACCGCCTCCTTCCTTGGCCAACCCATTGATAAGAGCAGAGCTGGCCCCTTCCCCAATCCCAAAGGAGAAACACCTGCAATACAGTAGTTTTGTTTTTAACACACACACCACTACAACATGAGACATACTGTGAGCGTGTGTTTTTGTTTCACCTGTGGGAACCTGAATTTGTCTTCACCAGATTTATCACTTCTTTGGTGTTGAACACCTCGCCGTCAGTAAAGACAAAGAGCTAGGGAGGAGAGTTTACACAGGAGTTACATAACATCACACCCAGAAACATGCAGCATGTTCTGAAAGCCATTCACATCATTTTCTGAGTGGCATGTTGGATTGTTGTTTCAGTGACATGAGTGGATTTAACAGTAAAGTATGAAGAACAACAATGGTGGGATAAGTATGAGCTTCAGACAAACCAGTTTCTTCAAGATTGTTCTTGTTCAACTGAGTAAAAGAGATAAGATATGTTCAGCCTGAACTGTTTCTTGTCCATTGCTTGCTCTGATTATGTCAGATGTCAGGCACCTCATGTGCTCCATTGAAACACTGGAACCACACAGTAAAGCTCTCAGCACACAACAGGGAGCGGTTTTAATAAATGGTATGACTGTGTCTCTTTTGCGAAACACCTGAACACTTTCTATGCCTGTTTTGACACACTTAACTCAGACGAGCCGGGTAAAAAGCTCCTGAGAGCTCTTGTCCAACAATCACCACACCCTGCATACTTCACGCAGGAGGCTAGGCCCCAGGACCTGATGGCATCCCGGCAACAGTGCTAAAGGCTGTTCCCATGGAGCTTGCCCTCCCTCTTCTACAAACCATGGTGGTTCCAAAGAAATCCTGCCTCACAGAATGAAATCACTGTTGGTCAGTAACCATAAAGTGCCTGGAAAGCTTGCACTGAGCAGCGTCATGCCAGCATTCAACACAATCCAGTATCACCAACTGATAAGGAGGCTCCAGTACCTCAACGTCACCCCACTTCTCATCCACTGGATACACACCTTCCTCAGTGACAGAAAACAGACTGTAAGGGTCGGCACAGCAACATCTCCAATCATCACTATTAACACCGGAACCTCACAAGGCTGTGCCATCAACCCCTTCCTCTACACCCCGTACTCTAATGACTGCATGAGTCCATAACCACATACTTTAAGTGCTCTGATGACACTGCCATACATGCACTTCTCTCTCTCACTTGCACTCAGTGGTTTAACAAACACCGGCGTAGACAGGGAGGAACAGCTTGCCTGATCAAGCAGTGTCTTTTTATTGACCTTCTGAACTGTCCTGCATTGTCCACTATGTTTGAGCATAAGGTAGTACATATGTGTACCTGGTGCTTTCTACCGAAGGTCAATAATCAACTTTGTAAACATTTAATCAGATCTGTGGCCCCATTTGTTGGGAGGAGTAAAGCTGTCAACTGATTACCAATCCTAACCCTGATTTAGATAAAGTGGAAGGGGAGGCTGTCAGTCACCAAATCTGTTTGTGACTCTCGTCTTTTCACCAGAATTGGTGGTGTCTTACTGAGTAACTTTAGTGCAAGTGACAGATTGATCATCACAAGCAGCATGTTCAAGCATGGTTTAAGGCAAAAAAATGTGGATATGTGCGAGTGTATTACTTGTCTAGGTTGATTGGGAATGCAGGGCTGGCTATAAATGTGCTTGAGAGAGTCAAGGATCTCTGTTCCTCCCAGATCAGCAGCCATCTCTTCCACTTTCTTCACAGCCTCTTCCAAGGTCTTCTCACAGTACTCCACACTCTTTCTGCCATCAGGAACACAAATGAAGGAGGTCAGGTGGTGGAAGGTAGTGTAGCACTACCAGGTTTTCCCTAAACTTGTGCATGTCTTAACTATACTGTAGCTCCTAAAATGTATTCCTACTAACTTTGTAGGGTTTAGCAGAATTGCCATATATCAATGTCACATCAACATAAACTGATGCATGAATAAACAAACAAACAGTAACATCAATAACTGAAACACATTTTTGTGCGCTCAGTCACTCACGGGAAGATGTATTCATAGGTATCACCAAAACTGTAGATGTTGAAATAGCAGCCCATTGGTAAGCTCTTCAACAGGAGCAGCAGAGTATCCTGATGGAAGTAGAGGAAAGACAGTGAAAGTTACTCTGTGAAAGGGACACTATGGATGATTTCATGATTGAGTTAGCACTTGCTGAATACCCTGGCACTGCAAATGCGAGTTGCTTCCTGCATGCTGTCATCGGTAGGACAATCCATACTCCCAGATCGATCCAATAAGAACACAAACTCTCCACATGAAGCCACTGAAGACATCACAGACTGGGGGAACTCAGGGTACAGACTCAGCATCACAACTGGATCACCCATCAGAGTGCCTGAACCACAAGAGGAAAGACACAAAAATGCTTTTTATTGCACATCTACTAATAATTTTTCCTAATTACTTACCCCCTCATTACATCAGTTTGAAGTGAGAGAACATTTTATTTGTCAGGTAACAACTTCACTGATTTACACACCAGTCTTGGCTGTGGTCTGTCCTGCCTCCACCACAGCAGTGGGCTGGTGGGCATCTTTGTAATAAATCAACAGTTCAACACCTCTGTCAAACTTGTGTCCTGCAGCCAACTTCGCCTGCAGTTCACAAAACACACTCATGAACTTCATTAACGTTATATGTTTTGTTCTTAGCACTGAGGAACAATCACACACAGCAGACACATTAACAGTCTACCTACCGTGGCCTGGGTCTGCTCTGTGTTGAGGTGCTGGAGAGGGTCCAGGGAACAGTTGGACTCTACTTTAGAGACTGGACGAGGAGAGGACACTCGGGCGGAAAAAGACAGACTGTAGGGAACCAGAGAGGCTGGAACAGAAGTCACCTGGACACTGGCACCTTCACTACCTCCACTTCCTGTGAACAATATGAGACGAGTTAAGAATACCATAATTGAAGAGACATTACCAACTGAGAACTGTTCGTCCAGCAGAAGTTCTGGATGACCAGAGAAGATCCTTAAAATTAATGCAACGGTTGTAAGACAAACATGGCAACCAGACACCCTCCTCACTGGCTACTTTCTTCAGCTCCTCTTGAAGGATTTTGAGGTGTTCCCAGTCCAGATGGGGTATATAGTCCCTCCAGCATGTTCTGGCTATGCGCTGGGAGATCAGATGCTCAAACTAACTAAACTGGTTCCTTTCATTGTGCAGAAGCAGTGATTTTAAATTAAGCTGTCTCTGGATGTCTGAGTTCCACACCTTGTCTCTAAGGGTGAACACAGCCACTCTACAAAGGAAACTCTCTTGCATACACAATCCTATTTTTGTCAGTCATTTCCCAGAACCCATGACCACAGGTGACTGCTCAACATAAAACAACTGATAAATCAAGAGCGTTTCCTTAAGACTCTGCTCTGTTTTCAATAATTTGGGAACTGTGTTGCCACGGGCAATATAACTTTTGGTGGAGTCTCCCTGCACAAATTGGTCGTAGTCAAGGGATCAGACTAAGAACAATTCAAGAACCCTGTTCGATTGAAAATGACCAGAGCAACCATGCTCAGAGGAGAAGAACTGAAGTGCACTCCTGGAAACCGGCCTCCACCCACAGTTCACTCCCAGATGGATCATGCTCTCTGAAGAACTGCAGATGAAAGGAATCACCTGATCTTGGTTAAAAATCTCACTCATACAAAGCAGGAGAGTACAACATTGACTGCTGAAGGACAACTCTGAGTTGAAAATATCACAAAGGGTACAAGCCTCTTTTTTCTCAGACGAGGAAGTATACTCCTCGCAGTACCTCAAATGTTGTCTCATGTAAATGTTATCTCTTTTTAGGTGGCTGGCTAGCCACCAGAACTTTTGGGAGTTGCCTGGTTTTTGTTTTGAATTGGGAGGACGTGTGAAGCTGGCACCTTCACATGGGATTGATGTAGCGCCAAGCGCAGACACCAATATGAACTGTTAGCTTACAGTTGAGGTTCAATGAATATCTCAAACAAACAATGATGTCTCATGTTCTATTTCTACACAATCTAAATACAATAGATGCAAAATCCACAGGGCATTTGTAGGTGTTTGTGGAAAACATATCAGAAAAAGTGAAGGCTTTGGCATCAGTACTGATTTCAACTTCAAAAATCAGAGATTGTTTATAGCACATCACAACCGGCAGAAAAGGAGAAGTCAAGTATTCTGTTAGTGTATTTCACAATGGTTTTTAACTTGTACCTGTATGTGAATGGTGCATTTGGTAATTGACGCTTCCACAGAAACACAAAAAACCAGTTTGTTGTTCACTAAATTTAAGTGTTGGCTGGATTTCCTACCCTGAGGTTGGCAGCGAGGGTTGAGCACAGCAGGCAGACAAAACCTCAGCCCGTCATCAGCCTGAACAGCCAGCTCAGTGACGTACTCCAGCTTGATGGAGGCACTCTCTCCTGGAGGCAGACTGCCCACACTCAGGGTGAATATATCTGGACTCTGCTCACTCTCCTCCAACAGGAAGGCCTGCTGACCAGAGCTCAGCGCATCATCATACTCCTCACGAGCCTGGAGCACAGATGACACATGTCAGCAACATTCACCATGTTTATTTTTTCTTTAAGATCCATTACAGTGAGTAAGCATTTACTGTCCAGCTCACCTGCTGTTTCTCCTTCACCTCAGCTACAATCTGTGTCTGTCCAATCTTAGCACTGAAATGACAGACAGCAGCATCTCCAGGCAGAGGGAAGACAAAAACAGCCTCTACTGGTTTGTCCTCCTTGTTCTCGTAGGTCAGGGTGGAGACCACCGTAGCCACATGGTCCCTGACCTCCAGCTCCACCTCGATGCTCTTCAGAGGAACTGACCGAGAAACAAAAAGAAATCCAATGATGAACATAAAGACAGAGTGAGAAATGTTGTGTGTTCTCTGAAGACATTTTAAGATAGTTGTTGATCCCACTTAGATAGTCTCTCTGTTTGTTTTCTAACAGCTCTGTACCTGGTTCCTTCTGGGCAGTTAGTAGACCACAGCAGTTCATCGTACCTGTGCAACAATTAACAAGGACACGTGAGAACTTTCTGTTGTAGGGATGAAAGGTAATGATACAGAGCATTATAGGTGCTCAACAGTTAGAAAAAAGTGAATCTATTTATTGTTTTTCACATGAATGTCATCATAAAAAAATGATAACCATCATGATTATAAGCATGCTTTGAGGACTGAATCCTGTAATTAATCCATCAATCTATCGATACAGCACATGAATGTGCAATATGTATCGATCGACAAGAAACTTAGGATCTCCACTGCCGTACGTCCGCACCCTTCCTGGTTCAGTCTTAGTACATTTTCTTGTGTTTTTGTTTTTATTTTTATTTAGTCAGCTGTCTGCTATAATATTTATGATGACATTCATGTGAACAATAAATAGATTCACTTTTTTTCTACAGAAGAACAGAGGAAATTTTAAAATGCATTTTACATTTGCAGTCAGTGTCTCATCAACAGTAAACAGAAACATCTGTCTGCGAAGGCAACTGACTTTCTCCTTTGCCAAATTGTTATGACATTACAATAACAAATCACTAAGACTCATATCCCAGTGTAACAGAAACACTATCCAGCAGTTATTAATAAGGAATCTCTGTGTATCAAAATGTCAGTGGTGAACTTCTGGTAAACAGTGCGTCATCTCGGATCACGACAATAAATACACAGGAGGAGAATACTTACCTCTGATGATAAGCGTTTAAAGACTGGGACAGTTTCACTGTAGCTCTCTCTTGTATGTGTAGAGACAACCTGTGTGTAACAGATGAGCCCTTATCCCGACTGAAACTGAAAGAAAACTGTAGTCACGCCTCCCGGGTACGCTCGATTTCACCACAGAAGATCGCCGGATGGGTGGAGCTTAAAGTGTCAATCTGAGTCATGCTCCTAAAATTTTCATGTGACGCATATTTTTTTTATTTTTCCAGTGTCCAATACCTCACCTGGATTAAAGTTTGAAGTTGAATCTGCTGCAATAAAAATCACGAAACTCTACTTCCTCTGCTAAAATGAAGCAGGCAACACACACAAAAATGCCTGACAGTTGTGTTATTGTCACCAGTGTTTACTCTGTGCTTTCTCTCTCTTTCTTTCTTTTGTACAGTTGGCTTCATGATATAAGATGACAGCGTACATACACAATTTTTTACACACTTAAGTATCGGCTACTCTGTGTCATTCAGTAACAAAATAACACATTATATATATTTATATGCTGATTATAAGTCACATTGAAATTTGTTCTTTCGAGACAGAAACGTCTAATATACAATAACATGATAAATTCAAAACAATTTAAACCTTCTCTCTTCTGGTTTCAACGAAATTAACACAAACATGTTATGTTTGACCAGTGCAGAGTCAGCTGAGACAAAAACACAGTCAACTCACTGCCAGCTGTGGTATTATGTGTCTAACATTTTCATCAAACGCATAGAGATTATGGCTGCAGTTACAAAACATGCACACATCGCCACCTAGCGGGACAGGATAGGAATGAACACATTTTCTGAATGAACTGACATGATGGTCCTCGAATCCTAAGTGTAATATATGATATATTTTAATGGGTAATTTGCTTGTGAGATGGCTTTGGTGATGCTTTCCTGAGGTTTTCTAAATTTTGGATACTATATTACTCATGTCTGACTTGAATTGCGTTAGTGAGTATTTATTTTCATTATCCTTGTGAATATAACTCAGGATATGTTGAGGACTATGTCCTCACAAGATAGTTTAAAACTGTGTGCAGTCTGAGGGCAAGATGTTAACTGAAGTGTTAGGTTCATCTCAAGGCAAAAACACTTCTGGACTCAGCTGTGATTTAGACTTAACCACCTCTAAACATTACAAACAAGCAGCAGTGTCTGGTTGGTTAGTTAAAAAAAAACATCCCGGTTAAAGTTCTTAACCTTGGTACAATGGGGCCTGAAATTTATGCTGACAGCCCAAGGTTTGCATGTTTACCTCGTGTCACACAGTTTTTACTACACAACGAACAGAGCAGGTGTGTAGTCTCTAATTCAGAGATTAATACTCATTTTGGTCAAAGCTCTAAGTTTAACTTTCAGTTTTTTTTTTAGACACAAATTGACATCAAAAGCATCATTCACTTGATTTATATATGGTAAGGATTTAGCACTGTTCTGACAAGTTTTTACAATGATCCACAATAGCTGAACCAAAATAGAGACCAATATAAAAGGCCAATAATGAGAAATAGAAAGAGAAACACCAAATGAAAATAGAAAACATAACAGAATAGGAATGAAATGTTACAGTGTTGACAGTGTAAAGGCTGTAAGATGGAGTAAATCTGCTTCTCTGCACCAATCCTTAAGAGCAGCCGGTTTAATGAAAACCTCAGAGCCCCAGGACGTCTTCCTGCACCTTGCAACCCAACAGTGCATTTCCAGCTTCCACACACTCTGCCACACATGGTGCTGAAAAAAAGAGAGAAAAACAAGTCATCAGAAGACTGGATGTGACAAAACAGTTGATTTTAACCAGCATATACTATTAAAAACAACAGATCAGCATTACTATCATGGTTTTTACCATTCTGAGCACGGAGCCATGACACAGCCTTCATAGCCAGAAGCTCCCACTCCTCCTTAGCATCCATTTTTAAAGCATGAAGCCAGATCAGAGCCAGAATGGTGGCCCACACTTCCTGGTTCACCTAATTCCACAAATCAAAGAAAGTCACATGGGACAACACATGACAGATAATCAAACAGAACAAGGTACATAAAGTATCTCAGGGGAAAATTTGGCCTGATAGACAGTAACCCACCAATGCAGGCTTTGACTTGTCCACCTCCTCGCTGGTCTTTCCCAGTACATCAGCCAGAGCTGGATCTAGCAGCCAGGAGCCGGACGCATTCTGGAGGGAAACCACCTGCAGCAAAGGGTCTCTGCAAGGCTGTTTGGGGATGGTGCTTTCAGTCTCTTCAGCACTCAAAACTGAAGAAAAATGTGCAAAGATAAAATCATCCCTGTAGATCATTCTACTGGTATCAGGTTTGTTTTGGGCCAATTTGATACTAATATCGGATTTGATAATATCAAAGCAATTGCAAAGATGAAATAATCTTTGTTGCACACAAAGATTATGTCACATTATATTGGTATATAGGTAGGTAAGGTATACCATTTAATTTTGGATAATTGTCTAGCATAAGATGGATATATGCTGCTAATAAAAACATGACTGTTTGTCAGTCTAAAAAAATGAAATACATGATACAGTCACTGAATTATTTCTGTCTTGACTTTGATGACTGATATTATGCCTGAAAAAAAAAATAGATAAAGAATCCACGCTAGCAACTGTGTGAGGCTGTACATAGACACAGTGGTGCTTTGAGCTAAATGCTAATGTGAGAATATGCCAAAAAGGTCACAATGACAATGAAAATGCTAACATTTAGCACGTTTAGTTTTTTGCCACATTCACTTTCTTCATGCACTGTGTGTATATTTACAAAAATACACAGATTTGTGTTCCACTCCCATTCAGCTTTGTACTTACTTTTCATACTGGGCAGAGAATCACAGACCAGCGGAGCACTCAATGCCATTCCTCCTAAAATGGGCATCACTTTAAGGTTAAGAAAAAAGGTATTGGGGTTAAGAAAAAAATATAATCAACAACACAACTGACATCTGAGCTTATTACAATGACTCACATGTCGTTATAAGACGTTCTTAAAATGTAAAAGTTGTTATTCAGTATTTTAAAAAGTCACAAAAAATTTAAGCAGCAAAAAAGATATATTCTGCAACAGAAATTTGTTCCTTTGTTCAGTGTAGAAATACACAGATGTGTGTTCCACTCCCATTCAGCTTTTTACTTACTTCCTTGACGGGTCATGGAACATGACCGGAAGGACACAGTATCAGGGGCAACCGACCCTTCAAGAGATAGAAAAACAACGAAAAAAACAAAATTTGAGGTCAGGAAATTACATGAGAATTTTAAAACAAAAAATATCAACTAAACTACTGACTTCTGAGCATATTACAATTACTTGCAAGTTGTTGCAAGTAGTTAAACTGTACGTGGTTAAATAATATTCAAAAAGTCACAAAAAATGCATAGTAGCTCAACCTTCCTCACTTGTGTCTTTGAGCAACTGCATATGTTGTCAGTGACTAACAAAAAATACCAGAGCAAAAACAACCACTGTATATCCAATATTTCACATTAAAGAACAAAGAAAGGGCAATTCTGCCACAGAAATGTGCTGTTTTGTTCAGTGTTTACGTCAGTTTACTATAAAAACACACAGATGTGAGCTTCACTCCCATTCAGCTTTTTACTCACGTTTGCTTCTGCAAAATGACATAGGTTGCACCCTAGCACCGACATGAACTTCAAGAAATAGAAAAACAAAAAAAAGTGTGGGATATCAGAGCCAGAATAACTCATATAACAGTATTTCATATTAAAGCTACAAAAAACAAAACAAAAAAGAGATAGAAATTTGTTCGTTTGTTCAGCGTTTACATCAATTTACTGTATTTACAAAAATACACAGATGTGTCTTCCATTCCCATTCAGCTTTGTACTTACAGTTCATACTGCCTACAGAATTACAGACCAGCGGAGCACCCATCATCATTCCTAAGATGGGTAAAAGTTTGAGAATTAAAAAAAACGTATTATGGTCAACCCAGAACAATTGAGCAGAATGCTTTTTCGCTATTACAGCTCCCACCCTATGGTACTCCTAGCCTGTATAACTGAGACATGCTAAGTCCTTAGCTTCTTTTACATCCCTTTAGAAAACTTTTCTTTTTGTGAAACGTTTGACATAGGTTATCTATACTAATTATTCCTATCTATTTGATCTTATTCATTTATTGTTTTTACATCTTCTGTTATTTCCTTGTAAAGCTCTTTGTTACTTCGTTAAAAAAAGTTCATTATTATTATTTATTATTATTTATATTATTATTACGGGTGGAGCTGCTGTTGCAGCATATGAAGGAGTAAGAGCATATTATGGAGGGGTTGTCAAAATGTTTTCGCTCATCAGTGTATCAGTCATGGTCACCGATAATACCTCTAAAACAGTGGGTGATAGAGCCTTAGTTTCTCATTTGGAATTGAAAAAGCACTTACTGGATACTGGAATATCTCTGCGGACCACAGGTCCTTGAATCGGCTCGCCATTGCTTTTGTTCACAGCAATGAAGGCAGTGAAGGGACTGCTCACTCCTGATTGGACACTGAGCTCAACCACCTTCTTCTTCACTCCTCCATCTTGCTGTCCACTGTGTTCTCTCTCTTCCATCTCCAGGGAGCAAATCAGAGTCCGAGCACCCAACCTGTGGACTGTTAATCTGCAGATAGGACAGAGGAGTGAACACAGGTGGGGCTTCATTTGTATGAATACAATACAGAGATATGCAGTCTAACTAATCATATGGTAGGTCTTAAACATCAGATAACATCTCAGTATACAGATATTAGAGATACGTCATTTATGCTACTTTTTGACTTTTATTGTGAGATGACAGTGCAAACTAATGAGCTACACAAAAAGCCAGAGGTGGACACTAGCTCTAGCTCTGTATTTTTATCACTAGGATGTATCAATGACTGAACTGAAACATGCTAAAATTGTAGATAAATACCATAACATAGTTTTGTTGTGTGTCACCCACAATTTAAATAATTAAACTCAAAATTTGTAACGTGGCACAGCCCAACACATAACAGCACTGTTTTACCCAGTGTCCTCTGCAGGTTTGAGACTGAATGGGAGCTGGTTCTTAGAGGGATGACCTGCCAGGCTGTACTTCACCGTCACACAGCCCTGTGCTGCCTTTGAACTCTGAGAAAGCATTACAGTGTT